AGCCAGGGTTTATATATCTTTTTCCTAAACTAATAAAACTAATACAAATAATAAGAAATAGTAGAAACAGTAGAAATGATAGAAATAGTAGAAATAGTAGAAATGGTAAAAATGGTAGAAATGGTAAAAATGGTAGAGATAGTAGAAATAGTAGAAATAGTAGAAATGGTAGAGATGGTAGAAATGGTAGAAATAGTAGAAATGGTAACTATTCTTTCTATTCATCACATTACACAAAACTACTTAATAATATTATACAATGATATAATAATACAACAATAGAATAGAATATAATATAATATAATATAATATAATAATAATATTAAATAATACTAATAATAAGAATTTAGAAACTCATTCTATAACACTACCTTTAAAATTTTATAAGAAGAATTTTTAAATGCTCAAGAAAATGAATAAACAACTTCTTTGTTATTAAATAAATCTAAAAAGCAAAATTTGCCTAAATTTTATATATAAAATTTAGATACATTAATTATTTGACTCTATATTAAAAATTTTATACATATGATCTGTGTGACAAATCATATGACTATTAAGTGGTTAAAATATATTAGTATAAATTTAAGGGAGATATCTTTAGATTTCTAATATTAAGAAAATATATAGTTTGGTAAAGGTTTTTGTTCTAGTAAGAGATATATGTAAGCTTCTTTTTTATCTAAACTAATAAAAAAAGTGGTTATTTATAGTAGCTAGAAGATATTAAGTTGTTTTAAATATAAAAAAAAAGGGTTAACAGTTTGTAGTTTTGGTAATAAAGATAGTTTGTGATATAGTAGATATTTATTGTAACAAATATTCAAATTATAAAGATCTAATAGTGTTGAAGATGATTTGGTGATATGTTTTTCTGTAGATATGTTTACTGTTTTACACTTCACTCTCATAGCCGTGAGGATTTTCAAAGTCTGCTCTATATGTTAGATCTGACTATTATAATTTTGATTCTCCATATAATTAAAAAATCTTTATTTGAACAAGAATATTATAGTTGAAATTTGTATATAGGTTTTAGCTAACTAAAAACATATTTGTAA